GAATTCGACTTGATTTTAAATATGTAAAATTCAAACTTGTATCCGATCCGATCCGATATTATATAAAATCAAATTCGACCCGAAATTAATAAAATATTATTTTAAATATAAATATAAAATTAAATATATATAAAATTATATAATTTAAAAAAAAATTTTATATATATCGGGTTAGGTAGTGTTTACCTAAAGCTCGACCCCGACCCAAACCCTAATTTTTTATGCTACCCGACCTTATCCGACTTGATACTCGATTTTAAAAAAAAATCGATCATAATAAGTCGGGTCGGATCGAAACACGTCGATTTCGATATTTTTATCTTCCCTAGTTGTGATATAATTGTTAGATTTTTTTTTTTCTTTTTTTTCTGGCACGTTAGAATCTAATTTAAAAAATTTTCAATCTTTAAATTTTTTTTATGATATTTAGGCATGCGATTGTTAACTTGATCTTTCCATATTGCACTTAAATCGATTTATGTCAAGTAATGGATTTTTAGCTAACCGATGGATTTCTGTCAGCCACGTTACGTATCGGCCTCAAATTGGCTGATTGATTACCAACCAAACTCCATGCAAAAATGGACTCTTTAATGACGGTAGATTTTAAGGAAAAAAAATCATGGTAGTTGCTAAAATTTTAGAAACTTCCAACCACTTCTATAATCATTTATGTCTTGATCAAATCTCATATTTTTCATTCTCATTAATTCTCAAAGCAAATTTTAACCAATGATAAAATCTTAGATCCTTAAGTTCATCATAAAATATCACATGTCAACCATCCAACGAAGGAGAGAATTATGAATTATGGTGTAATATTATGTTTTATTAAAATTAAAATATTAGTACCAGTTATTTTGAATAGCAAATATAGTGATATTAATGGATACAAATTGTTAATGGAATACCTTGTTTTTCACAAAAATTGCAAGGGAGTGATACATACATAGCAACTGAATTGAGGGGTCATTTATTCTGCGGGAAATTAAAGTAGTAGTACTACATTTTTCTCTTCCGACATTTCCAATGGTGACCAAATGTAGGGTAAAAAAAAAGTGAAGCCACATGGTTGGTTGCCATAGCAGGGCCTCGTTTCCACTTAGCATGACCTCTTTTGGGACCATCGGGCCTTTTTCATTTGCTTTTTGTCCTCCTTCATGGTAAGGGTACTGCAAAGTGCAAAGGGGGAAAAACAGAAAAGAAAGTGAAGAAGAAGAAGAACCTTGAATTTCCTTCTTTAAATGTTTGTTATATGATCGTATAAAGCTTAGTTTCACTCTAATTTCTTCCTTTTGAAGCAAAGACTTAGATTGAAACCAATACTAATTCCTTTTGTTCTTAAGAGGCAAAGCTACCGAAGATTAAAGCTATGGACTGCATCTCACCTTGAAAGCCCATATGGGCCGTACCAATTAGGCCCCAATCTTGTCAATGTGGGCGTCAAACAACCAGCTTTCCTCACTCCCTTTAACTTGACTGGAAAGGGGCTCTGCATCAGACTGCATGTAGAAGAAGTGTAGGACAGTTGTTCAGTATCATGTAAAAAGCTAGGCCTTTTACAGTAAGAATCTTGCTTTGTCAGTCCAATAATGAAAAAAGAAACCTTCTCATAATTCTACACTTTTGCCTTTTGTTGGGCCCCTCTACTCTATGTGGATCAATCCAATGCAATAGCAGTCCGGAAAATTAAACTAATAATAAAATGAGGATGGCTTCCTTTGAATAATAAACAGTTGATCCGTCCAACAACTCTCCAGACAACATACTTTTCTTCTAAGCTACTTGTTCAAGTTAAAAAGATCAAAGTTTGACCAAGCTTGTCCCGAGAATTTAACTGATTTTAATGTTTATATATTTCATAGTCCTGCAAATGCAAATATCCATAAAAAATAAAGCTGGTCGGTTGCCAATGTTGATATACTACAAAGATTTGAAGGGATGATGAATTGATGATGGTGTCACCCAAATAAATAAAAGAAAAAAATGGCCTAAAACCTATCATCATCTCTTCGATCTGAGTCTGAAGAGTGAGCTGCAGCCTCCTTATCTTGTCCCGAAGAGGATAGAATTCTTGGGGTTGGAGGGTAGATTTTGTTTGTCTCCTTCTTCGTTTCTGGTGGGAGACAAAGGAAGTGTCATTGTAACACTGATGAGTTCTTGTCTCCAAAAGGCTGCAGCCAAACTTCATCATTAAATGGCAAAACTAGAACCGGCAAATGTTATTACCCAAGGAATAAGCTAGTTACTTTTGATCTTTATTTTTATTACTAGAAATCAAGTTTAGCAATTTTAATTAAGCAATACAATGTTGTTGTCTTCATTTACCTCTCTACCTGGCTGCATAACCTTAATAAAAGGGAAATGTTTGGTGCAACAAGCTTGAAATTTGGTATGGATAGCCATTAATTTCCTTCCAAAGTTTGAAGAAAACTTGCCAAATGTGTAAGAATATAAGACTAAACTTTTGATATGTATAGAGGAAGTCTTATGGTTCATATTTGATTAAAATGTACACAATGGATCAATTAAATATTATCATTTTATTAATAAATAAATTTAAAATTTTTTATTGATTGATGGTATAAATCTAAAATAAGCGAGTCAAGGCTCAAGAAATATATTAATTTTACAAAGAATTGCATCCACCTTTTTCCATGTTTAGAAATTTCAGCAAGGGGCCATCACTAGGAAAAGAAAGAAAGTTGAAATGAGAAGGAGAGGTGGAAAAAGTTGAAAGTCAATAATCTTCTTCAAAACCACATGGCAGACTACAGAATCCATCACCAGGCTCCTCCCATCTAGGGATGGGAATTCAACTCGAGTTCGACGAGATTTGATCCGATATTATGTGATAGATTTTTTTTTTTTTAATTTTAAATTTTGAATCGAGTATAGGTCGAATAAGATTAAAAAAATAATTGAAATTGAATCAGGTTAGGTTTTAAGCATATTTGATCCTATTCTTATTTATATTATTTAAAAATTATTTTTAATTAATTTTTTAATTTTTAATTTATATATATTTATATAATGATAATTTTAAATATTTATATTTAAAAAATAATATTTTATATTTTAAAAAATAATATTTTATTAATTTCAAGTCGAATCGAATCTGATATGAATTATATAATATCGAATCAAATTCGAATATAAAAAAATAAAAAAAATTTTGATAAAATCAAATTTAAATTTATTAATACATAAAATCAAATAAAATTCGAGAGAAACCGATGACAACGCTACTCCTATCCCGTATCCACAACTTTTAATTAGCTAAAAGGCAACTTGATGGTCAACTTTAAAATGGCAGCCACACACACACAAATGAAATGACGCACCCAACAGCGTTTTCTTGGCGACGTGGCGTTATCATCGTGGCTGGTGGACAAGAATTGGTTGACAGCCCAAATCTTTATGTTTTTTTTATTTTTATTTTTTATGCATGCAGGCTGTGGCTTGGTTGGCTGACTATTTATATTTTTTAATTTATTTTTCTGAGTTGATACTTAGGATGACACCATTTTCATTAAATAAATATTTTTATCATTTTATTTATAAAATATTATTTGTTTTTTTAAATTATTTTAATTAATATTTATTAAAAAATAACATTATAATTAATTAACATTTTTACTCGAGGTTAGCTTTAACTAGTTAATTTTTAATTCAATTTATATATTAGTACTAATAAAAATTTAAAATAAGGTTGTAATCTTAATAGTTTTAGTTATTTAATTTTTATTAAATTATCATTATTATCAAAATGTTGCAATCAAAATTTTTTTATCTTATATTATATACTTAATTTTTGTGTTTTTTAATATTTATTTATTTTTGTTAAAAATTTTATGTAATATTATGTGTGTAATTTGTATGTTGATAGTGATTATTATTTTTATTTCTACAAAAATATGTAATTATATATTTAATATATAATTGTTATTTAAAAATAAATAAAAAAATATTTACGTATGTAACAAAAAAACTAATAATTTAAAGAATGAAAAAGCCATATTAAACTAATATTTGCGTATGGATTGCATGCCTCTAATTAGGGTCGATTTAAACTCTAAATTAAAGTAATTCATAAAAAGCTATATAATGAAATATCTATATTGTTAAGAAAATGCTAATCTACTAAGTAATTATCTAACCATTTAAGCAAAACCATATGCACTTCAACAGGAAAAAAAAAAAAAAAAACTCACATGTGCACGTTTGTTAATAATAAAATCATGATTAACATTTGCAAGGAAAAAAAAATAATGATTATTACTATTTATATCATTGTACATAATTAATGAGGTAGATGTCACACTCACACCAGGTTCATTCGTCACAATATTCGCAAAAACTAACAACAAATTATCAAAAAAAAAATATTATTAATCAAAGTTTACAATCATATATATGCTATTAAAAGTTTTAATCAATTTGGTTCCAAAATAGCCTTTAATTTTATGAATTTTATAAAAAAAATATATATGTTAGAAGTTGTAATTATAAGACCTAGAACCTTCGGTTATTCTTTCGGATAAAAAAAATCATAGGTAAGGGTTATATTAATGTAGATCCTTATAGCTCAGGGTTGGAATTAAGATAAAAAAATATATTATTTGGTATTTGAGTATATATATGATTAATGTTTGATACATGATTTTTTAAAATAAGATTCGAATTTTTTTTATTTAAAAAAAAAATCTCTTATATTTAGTTTTAAAAATATATATATATATATATACATGTATTAATAAGTACAATTGTCAAATATTTTTATTAAGAATATTTTTATTATAATAAATAAGATAATAAGTACAATTGTCAAATATTTTTATTAAGAATATTTTTATTATAATAAATAAGATCATAAAAATATTATTATTATTATTATTATTATTATTATAATATAACGATGCAAAGAAAAAGAAAATTTCACCGACTATTGACTTTTAAATTAAAAAAGCAGTATACTATTCCATTAAAAAAAGAAAAAGAAAAAAGAAAAACAACAACCGTTAAACTAAACTCGTTAGTTACTGTTGAAGCCCGAGCCGAGACGGCAGGAGAGACCAATTGTACCGACGGACAAACAAAACAATTTTACCTTACCAGTGGTTGACTTCAAAGACACAGAAAGAGAGAGAGAGAAAGCAGACAGAGACCAACACAGAAACAAAGAAACTACCTCCTATCAACCTTTAGGAATTAGGATCCTTCTCTCCCTTGCGTTTACGCTAATTCCGAGGCATGTTTTTGCTTTTCATATTCACCTTCAACCTTAATAATATTTGTACTTTTATTACTTTAAAATTTCTCTTTTGTCTCCTTGAGTAAGAACTTCATTTTTTTTTCTTTTTTTTTTGAGAGAAAGAGAGAATAAGGGAAAGAGGTTGTTGTTGAGGTGGGCAAATCCGTGGAATTCTGGGGTTTGACCAACATTTCGTGGTGACCCAGGTGAGTAAATGTTCTTCTTTTCTGGGTTTCTGATTTCTGTTTGTTTTGTTTGATTGGTTTGGTTCTTTTCAAAGCTTGCATCTTTGTATTTTGGTGTTAGAGAATTTGCTGCAAAGATCTGTTCTTTTAAGTATCTTCTTAGAAATTAGTTGGTGGTTTTATGTTGTTAATCGGTTTTTCATGAAATAATAAAAAGGGGAAATATGAAAAAAAAAAAAATTTGTCTTGTTAGACTGAGTCACGCAGAGCCTGGAAAATTTAGTGTTGGCTTAATGTTTCAGGATTTCATGGATTGAGAGAAATAACAATACTATGGGGAGTTATTTTGAAGAAGAAGAGGATCAATTCTTTGATAGCCGTGAGGAGATTTCTTCTGCATCTGATTGCAGTTCTGTTTGTTCTGAGGAATGTGGTTCTAGTGCTGGTTTTGACCTAGTCAACGATTTTTTGGACAGTTTTGATCAGTACAAGTTCTGGTCTATGTTCCCAGAAAGTGCTGATAAGCGTCGTCATAAATTCCGAAAATGGATGGGTCTAAGTTTAGGTCGGAATTCAGTTACCGGAGAAGATCCCGGCGGTTGCTGCAGGGATGAACTAGAATTGGGTATTTATAGAATTTCACAAGATAGTAGGGCAGTGTTGAGGACTTCAGGTCTTGAAGATGGGATTTCAACCAACCGGTCCTTTGTATCTTTTCGGTCCACTGATGCTCCAGAACCAGCTGAAAATCTTTCAACAGAGGATCATTTTGCACATCAAGCCAAGAATTTGGATGGTCAAATGGAATTGGTTGTGGTTGCACAGGGTCAGAATGGAATAAACAGCTGGTTACAAGCGAGGGGTTCAAGTAAATCTGTTAGTTCTGAAGAGTTCGAGAGAACCCCTATGCCATTTCCTTTGGTTGATCTGCGGTTGCATGGAGAAATTGAGGGAAGGCCTGCGATAGATGTGAAAAGCAAAGTGAAAAAGAGTTGGTTAGGGAAATTAGGTGCCATTGCACATATTGTTGATAAACATGTTGAAGTTGCATCAAAACATGGTAATCGCAACTCAGCATCAGGGGAAAGGATGAAAAGAGTCAGAGTTGATTCATGTAGCAAGCATTCCAAGGAGTTGTCTTCTCTTTTTTGTGGGCAAGAATTTGTAGCCCATGAAGGGTCCATCTTGACAATGAAGTTCAGTCTGGATGGACAATTTCTGGCAACTGCAGGTGAAGATTGTGTTGTGCGTGTATGGAAGATTGTTGAGGATGAGAGTTTAGACAAATTTGACATCCAAGACCTTGATTCTTCATGTCTCTACTTCAGAATGAATCATCTTTCCCAGCTGATTCCTCTCAATGTGGATAAAAAAAATATAGATAAAATTAAGAGGTTAAGGAGATCAGCAGATACAAGTTGTGTCATTTTCCCACCCAAGGTCTTCCGAATTTTGGAGAAGCCTGTGCATGAATTTCAGGGGCACGGCAGGGAAATTTTGTCTCTTTCATGGTCTAAGAAAGGGGTAAAGTTCCGAGATTTCATCTTCCTTGTTATATTGCTATTTTATTTCTTTACGAAAATGAAGGATACTACTTAGGATTTTTACTTTGGTCTTGATTTACAAATAAAGATATCATATATTCTTTATTGTAGTTTCTTCTGTCATCCTCTATTGACAAGACTGTTCGTCTATGGCAAGTGGGATACGATAGATGCTTGAGGGTTTTTTCTCATAACAATTATGGTAGGCCTCTCTTAACCGTCCTCCCCCATCCAAGCCATACAATAATTATGTTGATTAAATATTTTGTTTGGTTAGCTGATTTATCTTTTTCCAATGTTACCTGGCATTAATATGTGTCTTGCTCTTATTGTTAATGTAGTTACTTCTGTTGCCTTCAACCCTGTGGATGATAACTATTTCATCAGTGGCTCAATCGATGGAAAAGTTCGCATTTGGGAAGTGCGTCATTGTCGAGTTATTGATTATACTGATATAAGGGATATAGTCAGTGCTGTGTGTTATTGCCCTGATGGAAAGGTTTGTCAAATTTTTGCTTTTAGCTCGAAAATTTTGGATTGTTTCGTGAAATTGAATAGGTTTTGTTAAAAAACTCTTTGCTTGATTGTCGTAGGGAGGAATAGTTGGCTCCATGACTGGCAACTGCCACTTTTATGATATCATAGGTATGTTCATGTATAAAAGCCAACTTTTTATTATAGTTTTCTTTGAAGTTCCATTGCACATTAATGGTGCTATTGAACCTTAAACATGCTGAAAATATGAGCATATGACCTTTAATTTTTAATTATTATTATTTTTTGTTTTATAGGAGTAGTTATGTGATATAGGTTTTTAAGTTTTGACAGAATAATAACTTTACCAGTGGCAACCCAAGACTGAATTTCTAGCTGTTGATAGGAGTTGAAATAATGGCTGTACAATTGTTTAGTGTCTTCAACAGTGACCTTTATTTATTGGGTTGTTGGATGTTTGATAAGTGATCTTAGCATTCAGTTTGGAGTTGGCCAGCAGGAGTTGCGTAATATGATTTTAAAGAGATTCATAAATATTTATGATGGATGAAGGGAACATAGGAAAATAGGGCCGAAATACACAAACTTTTTATGATTATTCCCGACATATTCTGTATTTAGGGGAAATGATTTTCATTACAAAGATTATGCTTGATAGTCTTGTTGCCAATATGTTTTGGTTAAGAAGAGAAAATATGTTGACGTGATTGATACTCTAAATATGTTGTGACCGGATGCTGTAGATTATTCTTGACTTTTCGTCACTCATGATATATAAGGTCATAAAACACTCTGTATTTTCTCTCTGCAAATGTTTTTCCAACTTTCTAAGGAGGTCTGTTTTCTTTCTAAATAGATTTGAATTAGTATAGTTTTGCAAGAAACGTATAGACAGTTCTGCAGAATCTGCACCGATGTCCCTTTTCTTGCTTGTATTTTCTGGTTGAATCTCAGTGACTCATGGGTAATGTTGTCAGGTAATCGACTTAAACTCGATGCACCAATACACTTCCGAGGCAAAAAAAAGTTACCTGGGAAAAGGATAACTGGCTTTGAGGTGCGGTTAAATTTTATCCTTGTTTTTACTCATATGCACATTTCATCGTCATTACATATTTTTCCTTGGTGAAGACTTACATATTGTTGTTTCACTTTCTAGTTCTCTCCCAATGACCCAAGCAAAGTGATCATTACTTCAGCTGATTCAAATGTCCATGTCTTGTCTGGAAGAGATGTCATATGCAATCTAAAGGGTGAGTGTTTTACTCTTCTGTTCCCATTTTTGTTGTTCCATGAATGACCATCCTAAATGAACTTGGTAGTGGGCATAAAGATCACCTCTCCCTATGGGATGACTTAAGGTGGTAGTTAATTATTTTAATATTTAGAAATACGCATTTTTCATGATTTAGCTTCTTTCATCTTCCAGCATCAGGCTTTCGAACTGCGAGAAGTCAGATTTCTGCAACTTTTAGCCAAGATGGGAAACAGATCATTTCAGCTAGCCAGGATTCTAATGTCTACATCTGGAATTACAGTAATCGGGAGAAGAACTATTCCAAAGTGAAGAATATCTCATCTTGCGAGAGTTTCCTCTCCCACAATGTATCAGTTGCTATACCTTGGTGTGGCATTGAAACCATTCGTGGAACACTTACATCCCCAGAATTCACCAGGGATGTGCGGAGAAATGGCCTCGAAAATGGGCAGAAACATCAAAATACTAAGGTAGAGCTGGAACCATTGATGCCCCATTCTTCGCCAGATTGTTTCTCTCTGACACGTGTTCTCTTGGAGTCTTTGACAAGGGGTCCTCCAACTTGGCCTGAAGAGACATTTCCCAATGCGAGTCCGGCAACGATTGCATCTGACATGTGCAAATTCGAATTAAAGGTTTTGAAGAGTGCTTACCAAAGCATGTTAAGTTCTCACAAGTGGGGTCTTGTGATTGTTTCTGCAAGCTGGGATGGACGCATTCGAACTTACCTCAATTATGGGTTACCTATTCGATTATAAGACCCCTCCAAAGATTCAGCAAACTTACCAGGTGCTGTTCCTTCGGCCGTTTAGCACCTCAAAGACAGCTAGTCTCGTTGCTTACTTGCAACAAGCTTAGGTTCATGTGGTCCTCCCTGCATGTGGTCTGGACCCATCTTAGATTTTGAAGTGTATTATATATAGTCGTAGCCTATCAGTTCATGCCAAACATTTGGGTGAAATCCAGTCAGGTCCCAACAAATGGCTGGGATTTAATTTTGTTATTGGATCACACCATATAGATGTCAAATTTAGATACTGATTCTTTGATTTGTTTCAGGGGCTGTGAGCTCTAAATTATGTGCTAATGGGCCCTTTTCTCTATTTATATAATTGTATCTAACAGTGTTGGAGATTTTTCGAAAATTTTTTTAGTCAGAGACAGTGCAACCTCGAATTTCATGTTCCCGTTACTGCAATTTATTATTGTTATAAACAGGCTTAGTACGAAAGTTCAGTATAAACTTTCTCATTCTTTCCTCAGTCGCTTCTCGACATCAATACGTTTCGATAAAATCACATTGTTTTTCGCCAGGCGTCTGTAAATCTCCTTTTCATGAGTCCAAATCACCCTTAAAAGAATTTTCAACTTCTGTTCTCAAGGTTGTGGTTCTCAACTTTAATTTTTTTAAAATAATCTTTTGGGCTAACTTTACAAAAATAATAGTACAACTTTAATTTCAAATATTACAATTTAATTAATAATTCATTTTTAATAAAATATTTTATATTTTGCAATTTACTTTTATTTTATAACACCTTTTAAAAACTTTCGAATAAATAATAAACTACAAAGCCAAGTCTTGGTAGTCTTTAATCTCCATAAACAAAACACATGCAAGTTTTACTGTGTAGTATCAACCAATTACAGTTTCAAAATTTGTCCCCACTATCAACAGTTAGTTCGATCAGCTCGCCTCAACCCGATTTTTGGTGGTTTCTCAACTCAAATCTTTTTGAATTTCATATAAAGACTATTGCCCATTACAAACATTTCTGCTCTGCCCTCTAAATTTTCCATGTGCCCTGTTTGTGTTTCTTAGTCATATCTTATTATAATAAAAATAATAACAAAAAAAAACTAACTGGTAAATGAGTAATGAGAGTTTGTTGTCCTAAATGTAATAACCAAGAAATGATTGGTCACGGACGCATTTACTGTTGTTGTAATGAGAGTTTATCGTTTCTGGTCAACTGTGCATTAAACCAGAGGTCCAGTTTGAGCAATGTGAGTTGGGAATATGAACAGCATTTGGTCAATCACTGTACATTTCCAAATTTCTGACGGCTAGGTTGCTGGCCATAAAACTTCCAAATGATCTTCATATGGAATTTAGGAAAATGGATTCGGACGTATTTCCCCCACCGAATTTCGTTAACATCCCTTCAAAAGAATTTGGGAAATGTAGATTGCATTCTTTCAAAGGAATTTTATTCCTTTACGCAAATGCTGAACTCTATGAAACGAACCTTCCTAATGAGTTTGGCTGGTGAGTGGTTAGCAGTAATTTAAAGTTGGGTTAGTGCTATATAGCCGAAAGATTTAATGACCAACCATCGTAGGCACTCAGCACATGATCATGAGACTACTTGTTACATTCCTTCCCAAGGGACAAGTCACCCCAGAAAGACTTTCGGGCCTAATGATGCAAAGTTGGATTCTTAGTTTGAGTGATAATCTCACGGTCAAATGAACCCTCTGTGGCATCTTGATTGGTCGGTCGACAAATATTCATGTCAGGAGGGAAGATGATCCTTCCCCAACCACCCCCAATATCAGCATTAACTGTTTCTTCGCCTCGATCTTCATCATTATCACTGACGTTAACAGTTTCCATAACATCAGAGTCATAGGAACTTGGATCCACTTCTTTATATGGAATGATATCAGCAATTTCTTCTGTATCAACTAGATCCTGTGTCCCAAGTTAAGAACAGATTTTTGAAAAAGAAAAATATCAGAAATAAGAGCTCTCCTAAATGCAAAGAATCAGTGAACGGAAAGCATGGTAGTAGAGCTAAAAACGAAATTAAAAAAAGAAAAAAAGGAATAGAAGATGAAGGCAAAGATGTACCATAGTCAATTTCAAGATCTTCTGAATTCCTCTTGGCACGCTGCCCTTTCAAAGCCTCAAATTTCATTCCATCAAGAGGCCAAGATTCGCTTTAGAAATTTAATAATGGCTAATATTAACTACTCGAGACAATAAAGGGAAAAAAGAATGATGACTCGAGGGGTGGTGGGTAATAGTTAAGACACTTAAAGAGGAGTTAAGGAAAGAACCAAACAGTAATTACTGATACCAGCAAACATTAATGTTGCTGGACCTTCAAATCACTAAAAATAAAAACATTTATGTAAATTTCCCAATCCAAAAAGCAGTTAAGAATGCTAACCGGGGTTGTTGTCCTCTTCTGAAAGCAATGAAAGAAAATTTTTCATCTTCAAAGCCACGTAAAGGATTGCCCTTGGAACGCTACAAAGTAGTGATGAATGAGAGAGTTGAGATCTAATAAATTGCCTTATTCTGATACTTTCAGGATGAAATCTTCCAATTCCCAAAAAAAAAATATATATAAATGCCAATGTCAAATATATATACTTCAAATTTTGCTTTGCAATGAACAAAAGACAAAATATAGCATGGAACTAGGGGTTTCATGCGTAGATTAGCTTATTAATAAGAATAAAACATACTAAATCTTAAACTGAGAGAAAGAATGGCAGAATAAAAATATTATAAGCTCCCAGCATTTAAACTTGCTTACTTGTTACATAGAATACTAGATAAGTTTGACAAATGATAAATAAATGAATAGAAGAGAAACCTTGTAAGCATATAGTGAAGTTGTCCTATGCAAATGTTGAAAAAATGACAGTATTTTCCAGATTTCTCCAGTGGACACACCCATCATGAGGGCACTGCATCAAGAAAGTTGCTTTGTTAATTATCCTTTTGAGGAAAGAAAAACAAATACTTGAGATGATGCACCACTTTTTAGTCAGGAAAAAAGGGAAAGTAAAGGAAAAAACATCATACTTACAGTAGCAACAATGACTGCACCACTTCTAAGATCAATAACGTCCTTAGAATCTTCCTTGTTTCCCTTGGCTTTATGGCATTCCTAAAAAGTCATAACTAAGGGGTATTGTATAAGCATGGGGGAAAAGAACATGCAAAAATGAAACATAAAATAGTCACACAGCAACCAAATTTATTTTCAACAGAAAAAAATAGGAGGAAAAAGTAAACTCACTCTTTTTTCCATCCACAAAAAGTGAGATCGCATCAGGGATATAATATTAGATCCTTTTGGTGTTCCAGGTTCAACTAAGACCTGCCAATAATCAAATTTTATAAAAACTGAAATAAATAGGACAGAAAAGAAAGCACCAAAATGATATTCTCCTAGGGTAAAAACTTATAATCTACAAGTCATCGTCCGCATGCCTCAATTCATACCATCAAGTTATGGAAGGGTTTCCAAGTCAGTGTGGCATAAATGACATACATTAGTTTGTTTTCTCATACATGGCACAAAAGCAATACAAAATCATTGATGTTCCCCCAGCAAAAATAGGTAATGAGAGAAATATGTCAACAATTCCAAGAACATACCAGGACATCCCATGTCAGATTCCAAAGTTGGCGCACTATTGTAATTCAGTCCTTCAGTGATGGTATCTCTCCAAGCCTATAAGACTTTAATCCATCAAAAGACGCATTTTATTTTGTTAGGACCAACAAAGGGCATATATCTCCAAAGTAATTCCAAAAAAATTCAGGACATGCAGCAACTAAAGTAGTAAACAAAAAAGAAACATTAGTAGGTCGAATCTGCCCCAATGCAAAACAATGACAAATTTGTGTAGAATTACAAACTTACAGCAATTACAAGGTTGTGTTCCCCCTCAGACTTACTGATCTCTTTTGTTAGTGCTTGAAGGCTAGTACAGCTATGAATAAGGGGCAAGTTCGTAAGGCCAAAAAGACACATAAAGAAATGACATAAAAATATCAGAAATTGCCCAATTACACCTTAAATAAATTTACTAAAAGTGTAAAGAGTTAAGACAATGAAAGTATGAAGCCTCTCTATGCTCACTTGTAATAGTTCCATATCTATTACATCATCACAGACAATTAGCAATCTCAACTCCTTTCTACCATCTGTAAACATACCCAAAGACACATGCGATAATTCACTATGATGTAATGCACTTATATAAAAGTAATAATATCCAACATTCCAAATTTCCAAATTTATCATTCACATAAGCATGATGCAGCCAAGAAATGAGTGATGTAAGAAAAATTCAATACTATGACCTAACATGATTCCTTTTGGGCCTTTAATAAAGCTGATTTCAGAGTTATGTGATATAAGACTTAGTTTGTTGTTGTTGTTGTTGTTATAAGCATGATGCAGCCAAAGTTCTAATTGGCTAGCTCTCTAACAAATGCATCAACTTCTCCCCGCCACCATTAGATTCAATCTCAATGAAAATGTGAGGATCAATAATTATTATCTTGAATAAGATTTCGACCTGCATGCTGCATGGATTGAGATGATTCCACTATGTTTATTTTCTCCATAGATTTAGGCCAGACTTCTCTCATTGCCCTAGAACACCACAAAGTTCAACACTGTAAAAAATTTTATATAACTCCAAGCACTCAATTTGCAAAAAGCTTCTTGGCTCTTGCAGACAAAAAGCAAATAAATTCCCACCAGAAAGCTGAGCCAGTGTCAGCACCAAAAATTCAAAACTTTGGTTGGAAGCAAACCCGGTAGCCTTCTCCTCACCTAGCAAAAGCGCCAACAACAAAAATTTCCCCAAAATTAGTAGCAAAATACTAAATTCCACCTGTATGCATAATAATGCTCAGAAATGATCAATCTTTGGCAATTATCGAAGAAAATTTTAATCATAAAAGTTCCACTTTTTAATTATTAAGGTTGCAATTTAGGGAAGTCAAATATTGGCACCTCACTGAGGACCCTATAACAAGCAGAGTAAACTGCGGGCATCCTGGAAGCAAGATAAGCGACGGTCTCATCATCTCTATAAGTGAGACGATATCCCCATAAGCACTCTTGATTTTCCATCTTTTTGACGGCTCCATTGACTTAAGAGGATCTTCGACGAGCTCCTTTGAAGTCTCAGACACATGATGCAGATTTACATGTTTAATCTCGCTAAAAGACTCCGACAAGCATAACACTTTTCTCCGCATATAAGGGTCCTCTTGCTCTATGTTCAATACCCATTAACACCTCCCTTAAAAAAAAAAAAAAGAACCTCTTAAGTTTGAAGATATTGAACTGGTCATTAAATTCACATAGGTAGATTACCTCGAGGTACTTTTTGATGGCTCAGCGAAGTCGAACCGGAATGACGAGGCAGCATTTGGATTGCTTGGAAGCAGCAAGTGGGTCTCATGGGTGAAGATTTTTTGGGTTGTTTCTGAGATTAAGGACGCCATTTTTGAAAATGGTGCTTTGCTTCTGCGATAGAAATCAGGGAGGTTTGTGCTTTTTTTTTTTCTCACTTTCAGGGGTTTAAGGTTTTAGAATTTTTTGGGCTTAGAAAATGGATCCATCGTAACTTAATCCAACAAACATTCTAAATTTTGGATCCAAGAAGTAGAAATAGAATGGGACAGCTACCCTTTTTCGTCACTTGAACTTCATTTTTATTGGTGCATTTACTCTTTAATTTTTGCTTTATGTTAGTTGTTTTTAGTTCATTTTTATTTTTTTTACTTTTCACTTTTATTAAAAACAAAAAATAATAAAAACATTGAATAAAAATGAACTAAAAACCTTGATAAAAAGCGAATAAAATAATTTTGATAGAATTTTTACTATTGAATAACTACCTATTAAATTATAAATGGTATTTTTAATAATTTTATATATTATTAATTTATACATTAAATTTTATCAATCTATTGATTTGAATTTTTTATAAAAATTTTTTACTAAATTATTTTTAAAAAATTCACAAATTTCATCAAAAAAATTTTACCTAAGTTTTGTACATTTTTGTTAGATGAGCTTCACTAGATTTAAAGCTGTCCAATTAAAACTTAAATTAAATCTTAAATCCATCAAGACCATTTAAAGAATTTTGTAATGAATTCAAATAAAATACATATATGGCAGAACAATTTTTTGATACATCAAATCACTAAAAAAGTTATTTTCAGTACGATAAAGTGATATTTTAATGTATCTTCACTTTCACAACTAGTTTACGTTTAAAGTTTCGAGTACTAACACCAGGATGAAACCCATGTGTTGCCGAAGGGATTCAATGTAAAATGTACAACGATTTTTTATAATATAATTTGGGTCTTGACATCGACATTAGACATATATTCAAATTAACACCATCATTTATAAGCCTCAAATTCATTTTGGTTTTATTAATCACAAATAACTATAAGAACACTAAATTGTTTTGTTTAATGACATTTAACATTTATACTTGAAATAAGAAATAAAAGGTAAGGAAACTTATACCTCGACCGTTACACAAAAAACTCAAGTACTTGCACGTTGAATCTCTCTTTTCCTCCCAACTATGAATGCCTCACTTCATTTTAGCTTTGCCATGTGATGCTTATTGAATACCTAAATGACATAATTGTGAAACAAAAGTATATGAGACCAAATTCAAATTAATAAAAGACACAAAACTATCAAAACCTAATATCAATAGAGAAATAAGGAAGTTAAGTTAGATGCATTATGGAGCTTGATGTCCAACACACAATTGAGATGCAACACATACTATAGGTCAGCACCCTAAAACTCATGTTTATTAAAATTTATTCAGTTTGATCATATATAATGAAAACATTAAATGGGAGAGGAAGAAAGTAAAATACCATATCATCCAAGTCATCATATTCCGATTTAGATTTATTTCCATTAAGATTCATCTCTAGATCAATTCCATCCTAGCCTTACAACAAAAGTCAATAATCTAGTTAGATAAAAAAACATGCACAAAAATGCATTATAAGAGAGCAAAATATAGAAATGAATGAAATAAGTTTGAAATTGTTTGACCATTTATGCTTTAGCATGTGAAACTGTAACCAAATATGATACAATGTTTTGGGTGATCCAAACAAAAAAATACAATGCTTGAAACAGATATGTCTTATAATCTTCTTTCAGCAAGCAACTCAATTGTTACAAAATTTTGGGACACATACATCAAGTAGATAGCTTCTAGTTCAGAAATGGAGCCTAAAAACTTCATAGAACTTGTTGAATTAGTACCAATATCTTGTTGTCACAGTCATGACCAGCTTTATGGATCAATGAATAACTTTCCACCAGTAAGTTTTTTGTAAATTATAGCCAGCCTCATAGTATTATAATTCATGAATAGAAAAATTGGTAAATACTATGACGAATAATAAATAACCACATAAGAAACTCAACCAAAAGGTAAAAAAAAATTAACCTTTTTTTAATTATCGATATTATCAAAGTTGCACCATGAGATAAAAAATGAAAACTAAATTGAATGAAGAAGAAAAAAATAGAATGAAAACAAAAGCATGAACATTGGTTTGTACTTATCACAATCCTCTCCAATATTTTGTTTCATTCCTTTTCCTCACAGTAAATGGTTCATAAAGAAACCTATTGCAAGCTATTTCCATGAGAACTCAATTGCTTGATGTGAATATTTTTTAGATTCATTAGCTAGGTATACATCACGTTCTACTAGGTTCAATGTAAATAGCAACACAGCCCCTTGTTGAACAAAACATTCTAAAAAGTTAAAAAGTAAGATGCTTTTTGAATAATTGCAAATTAATTTTCTCATTTGACATTTTAGTAGTAAACTACAAAATCAGGTCTTGAATGCAAAAACAATCATACTTATTCCATTAGATAATTTGGTAACATAAATCATTCTCATCTAAACAAATTAAGAACAAAGTATGTCAAAATCGAACCTCGAAGTCACTTGAAAGTCCCTTATTCAATAACTCAAGGAGATCTTCCCTATAAGCTTTAGCATAAGTTTTTTCAAATTAAATTGTGCTGTGATGCATTCCAGTATATCTATTATCAATTGCTCATTTGTACCCCAGCTTGAAAAAGGTTATAAAAAACAGCTCATGATCACAGACTGCATACCAGAATAGAGAAGCAAATGTTAAGATGAAATATCTATTCATCGTATAATACAATATTTATAACAAAAATAGCATAAATTCAGTATTATTTCATTACAACTTTAGCTGTTTATGGTGGCAGTGTGGGCAATATGGGGGCAAAGGAATAAGGAGTTGCATGGGGAGAACAAAAAGAGATCACAAGAAGTAGAATTCTTTATCAAAAGTTACTTCATGGATTTTAAAAATGCTCAACATAAGGTTACCAACCAGCCTACTAGAAATGGTAAGTGGTGTCCGCCCTCAACTAATTCGTTTAAGGTTAACTTTGATGGTGCAATAGACACTGGTAACAAAAGAATGGGAGTGGGGATTGTCATCAGAAATGAAAAAAGAGAGGTCCTAGCAATGGCTGCTACAAAGTTTCAGAGGTTAGTGATCCTTTCACTATGGAAGCTATTGAAATGATCAAAGCACTTGACTTTGCGAGAGAATTGGGGTTTAACAGCAATATACTGGAAGGAGATTGTTTAGGGTTCACAAGAAAACTAAATCTGTAGAGTTTGACCTATCACTTATATGTACGTTAATTGAAGAAGCCAAAGCAAAGATGTCTGCATTCCACACCTGTTTAGCATCACATGCATTAAGAGCTCGCAATATGGTGTCTCATAAGTTGGCAAAATATGGGCTACAATCTTTAGAGGATGAGTTTTGGATTGATGAGTACCCTACTGTAATCATGCAACAGTTACGTGATGATTGTGCTTTCTCTCAATGAATGAAGCTTATCTTTTCTTTAAAAAAATTCCATCATTTACTAAGAATTTTTTAATAATATAGCAATAAAATGAACCTAAAATCAATTTATTTTTATTTTTTATCTGTTCAAATGATTTTTCTTCAATTTGTTGAAAACCTGGTTCTATTTCCTCTTTTAGATTGGATAGGCCACTGATTCCTAATTCAACCAATTAGAAAAAAATAGAAACAATTTTTAACATTATTAGTTTAAGAATCACACCGCACAGCAGAGCTTAGTGCAGAAGGTATCAACCAAAGAATCATAGAAAGGGGTTACCTGAGAGGATGAAAAGAGATCGTGTTTCTCGGCGGTGGACGACAATAATAATGGCGAACTTCGACGGAGAAAGATTTTGAGAAATTTGGCTGAGAGGAAGATGCCTAATAACAAGAATTCCTCAATCTCCTCCCGCAAACAAAAGAAAATTAGGGTAAAGGGAGTGGGCTAAGGGAGTTTAACACCATGCAAATTAGTTTTTCATTTGCAAACAAAAGAAAAATGAAAGCAAACTTAGTCTTTGTGAGAGGGTTGTGACAGTGATTGGCAATTGCTTTGCCAAATTTTAGGAGACTACAAATTTTTTTGCCAGAAGCTTCTTTGTCCGGAAGCTTCTCACCTTCTAATTACTTTTTTTGTTCCAAAATTACCCCTTAAATTTTTTTTTTTTTACATTGGTGAATTGTACAATAAAATTGAAGGAAGGGACTGTTTTTTATATATTTTTATAGATGATACAAAAACTTTAGATAATGACCAAAACAATCCAGCAAGACGAATTTCGTAATCATCAAACAAAACAGTAACTAAATAAAATCCTTAGAAAATTACAAATGAGACATGTCATCAGACAAAGAAAATCTATTAAAAAAGCTCACCTCAACAACTTACCTGAAACCTAATAGCAAAATACATGATTAAATGAAGAATAAAAATTTCAATAACTTATCTAAAACTTGACAACAACTAAAAATAATTAAAAGCAAATACCAATAGAGAGAACACATAAGAATTGCAATAAGATTGATAAAATTTAAATAGACTGTGGTGGAATTTTTTAATAAATTGAAAGATTCAACTATGTTGAATCTTGAAAACCTATTATTTTTCTTTTTGTGTATGTATTTTTGTTTGGGAAAGTTTCAAATAATTTTTTAAGTAAAATTCAAAAATTTTTTATTAAAAATAATTAAATAAAAAATCATAATCATAAATTGAAAGTCTTATTAAATGAATCAAGTGTATAAATTTTAAAAATAATAGTAATAAATTTTGATATATTTTTAAATATATTTTGAATAAAAATTTTGACAAAATTTTTGCTATTAAATAATTATGTATTAAATTATAAATGATATTTTTAATAAGTTTTATATATTATTAGTGTTTATATTAAAATTTATCAATCTATCATTTTAAATTTTTTATAAAATTTTTTATTAAATTATTTTTAAAAAATTAACAAATTTTATCTAAAAATTTTTACCTAAGTTTTGTACATTTTTGTTAGACGAATTTCACTAAATTTAAAGCTGTCCAATTAAAACTTAAATTAAATCTTAATCGATCAAGACCATTTAAAGAATTTTGTAATGACTTCAAATAAAATACATATATGGTACAACAATTTCTTTTATACATCAAATAACTAAAAATCTGAATTTTAGTACGATAAAGTGATATTTTAATGTTTCTTCACTACTTGTTTACATTTAAGTACTGATATTTGAAAAAAACAAATATGATATTGGTGATGTACTATAAAATTATATAATTATGAAGATTCTACATATTTCAATAAACTAACTGTGCAAAGTAAGAGCATAATAAACTTTGTTGTATATATATATATATATATATATATATATATATATAGAATGTTAGCACTAAAGAAAATCGATGTAGTTTTACTTAGAAAATTGAATTTTAATTTTAATAAAAATTAATTTTTAAGAAAAGTGAATGAAATATTTGAGTTAGTCTCATTTCATATTATAATATATAAGGGAAAAATCAAGTTATACAAAAAAGTTTTATACCTTTTGTAATTTTTAATCATTGATTTGATTTTAATAGATTTAATAAATGAAATTAAAATTTTTGACTTATTTTTATTATTTTTTAAATTTATTAAAATCAATGATTAAAAAAATGTAAAACTAAAAAAATTTTTACAGTGATATATATATATATATCATAACAATTTTGAGATCATTAGATGAAAAAAATTTTAAAATTAAGAAAAATAAGAAAATTACTATCAATCTTTTTTATTAAATGCGATTGATCATCTAAAAAATTTATTTATTTTAATAAAACAATAAAATGAGTTTAAAATTTATCAAAAATACAATTTTGAACTATGAAAATAAAATTAGATTTAAAAGATGATTATGCATAAAGAATTATTAACACCGTTACAACACCCATGAAAATTGATACCAATTAATCATCCTTTATCTTCAGGGTTAGATAAAATAATTTCAATTTAAAATTTAATAATAATTTTCTTTAATTTTTGAAAAAAAAATCAATGTTATTAGTCGTTTATTTAGGAATATTGCAAAATAATATTTACATTAAAGAATTATTTTAAAATCCATTAATATCTAAACAAAATTTATAGATAGTTTTTTTTTTTACCTAAGATTTATTATAACATTTCTTAAAAATGAAAATAACATTTTTTGTAAAAGATAATTGTTAATAACTCTCTAATATCTAAGCAAAATACCAAAATTATTTTCTTTGTATAAACAACTAATTTTATCCGAATCGATTCAAACTTATTTGATTTTTAAACTTGATTTTAATACTATGATTTAGACCAACTTTAGCATTTAAATTAGATTTATCTAATCAAGTTCGATTGAGTTTCGTTTCAGATCAATAATTTTTGAATTTGAATTGAAATGAGTAATTTTAAAGCCCAATTTTATTTTATTAGTAGTAATTGATTTAATTAATATTAAAGAAAATGAAAAATTGAGAAGGTCAACACCAATCTACCCTTACTTTCTCGTTCTCTAAAAATTAACCATTTTACTAAGCCTATTTCAGCTCACTAATTTTACCTCTTTTTTTTTTATTATTTTACCACTAGCAATTTAACATAGAAATACAAACTTTTCTAAGCCCTTGTAGCAAGATCAATGCAGAACCTCAAAAATAAACTAAAAATGCTGAAGATTCCAAAAAAATTAATTGAATTGATTTGTCCTTTCATCTAAGCTCTCCTATAAAAAAAAAAAAAAAAAGACCATAGGGAGGAGAAGAGGGGGAACCAACAAAAGAAAGAGCCCACTATTCGTAAAACCTTTAACAGCCTTCATCGCCTTCCTCAACTACCCACCCACTGCCCAAGCACCACACCCGCACCCTCAACCTCCACGTGCACACCCATACCAGCATCCCACTCCCTTAACACTCACCCAAATCGCATTCGACCTCCAACCCCATTTTTTTCTTTTTCAGCATTTTTCTGCATCCTTGCCCACACCTAGAATCAAGGGTGTACACCAAACTTCTAACAACCTCTACCAGCCTTCACCCATACCTCTACCTGTAATAGCGTAGCTCTATAGCCCCAACCTCACACATCAGGCCCTTGCCAACATGGTCCCTCAATTTTTTCACCTAATTTTTACTAGCTATTACCTACACCTAAAAGTCACCCTTGCACACACCCGAATTGAGCCTCTTCACCTCAATCAGGATCCGACCTAAACTACCCATCCACCACTTAAGCACTGTCTAAAACACCAAGCCACCAGCACAAACAACCATCACCCCCTCATCACTATCCCCAAACCACCATCCTAACCAAATCAGAACCATCGACAGCCTCTTATGCCATTAACAACCTGAACAAAAAATAATAATAATAATAAAAACAACACAATAAAAATGTAACCCATGTGTGCGGGGAAAAGCAACATTGAAAGCAGTAAAAAAATCCAAAAAAATTAGAAGCAAAAAGGTATAAACAAGGAAAAAATTGTGGGCTTTGGTTTTAGAACAACTGTGATCGACTTTAAGCTTTGACCGTAAAAAGAAGCAGAACCAAAAGAGGAAAAGAAGGTTAGCCACTAGTGGCAGTAAGATAGATGGCAAGGCAGGGCATGAATGGCGGCAGCTTCCCTAAGACGATCAGGGATGGTGAAAACGAAAGTGGATGAGGGATAAATAACATATAAAAAATAAGAAAGATCGAACGATGGATTTACAATTTTTAAAAGTTTGAAAGATTGGGTTTTAAACTCAGATCTATCAATTTGAAGGAGTTTTTAGAGAAATCTGTCTTGAAATGAAGAAAAAGAGTCCAATGTGAAGCTTGGGTAAAATTTTAGAGGGTAAAAGACACTGGTCGATGACAGAGAACGGTGGCGGCAACGACAAGCTTCACCGAAAATTAGGTTTGAAAAGGGCAGAGTTGACTCTGTTTTCTAAGAGAATTAGGAAGCTTTTTTTTAGAATAGGAAGATAGAATAATCCAAAAAAATTGGGAATTTATAATGTAGCAAAAAAAAAAAAAGCCCAAATAAATCGGGTGGACCTAGTCAAACCCAACTCGAAACCTAATCAGTCTAAACCCTTGCTACATACCTAACCTACGACCTGTCTGCTCGTTAGATCAAAGACCTAGCCCACATCAATCCCTGAAAGACCTAATAAACTTGGGCCATTTTAATACTTAATTGATCATGGGTCAAAACCCAAAGAAAGCCACATTTGGTACACTATCCACCCCTTTTTTTTGTTATTTTATTATATATATTTATTTTCCTTAAGTTTTAGATATTTTTTACGGTAAGTCTTTAATGGATTAATGAAGTTGAAAAAAAAAAGAAAAAAATAAATAAACAATGAAATTAACGAATAATGATAATAGATTCTTAACAAATAATAATAATAATAATAATAATAATTTTACAATAATAAAAATAATTTTTATTGAAGTGATTATTTTTTTAAATTAAAAAAATGATTTTGGATACATTGCCTAGATGTTAGAGGGAATTTAAAATCGTATTTAAAAAATTTAATTTTGCCTTGAGAAATTAAAAGATTAAAGAAATCAATTAATTAAAAAAATTCAAATAACAAAAGTTTTTCTGCATAAATTCAAAATTATAAATAGAATTTCTTTTATAATTTTTGTTTTAAAAAGAAATTGATAAAAAATAAGTAAATAGGAATAAAATATATAAAAAATTGATTAAATTGGTTGTTTTATTTTTTAGATTTCATGTGCATAATTTATTTGCTTCGAGTTGCATCGATATAAATTTATAAAAAAAAGGGAAATTACTAAAATCGAACTTGCTTTAAAAGTTCACCTAAATGTTGGTGTTAATTGATGAAGTTCAAGCTATCGATAATTCTTATTTTTCTCATAAAAAATTCTAAAACCTTAAAAATAAAAAACCTTGAAACCTGAAACCCTAATATCCAAAACCTTGAAACCTTAAAACTCTAAATCTCGAAATCTAAAACCTTAAAATAAAAAACATCGAAAACATCATTTAAACCCTAAAACCTCAAAATTAAAACCCTAAAATCCAAAACCCTAAAACCTAAAATCCTAAAACTTCAAACCATGAAACCTAAAACTTCAAAATCTTAAAAACCCACCAAGACTCTAAATTTAACCCAAACCTTAAATTTCACTCACAACCCCTAATCATTACCTGAAAAT